ACAAGATGCGAAGTCGTAGCAGCAGCTTTGACTAAACAAGAGAACCCTTCTCAGCAATGGAAATCTGGTTAACAAAGATGAATTTGGATTAAGAGCAGAAGACCCCCAAGAGGTTTGGGGGTTGAGTTTGGGTTAGTTTAAGGGTTTGGATCTTTATCCAGGCTTTTTGAATCTGTAAAATCTGGCTGGGAATTTTTGTGAACTCTCCCGTTCTTGCAGTGCTCTGCGACTTCTTGCCCTGGCTGGAGCTGGAAGGGCAGAAATGCAGAAAAATGAGATGGTGTTTGGGATGGGGAGGGCGAGAGAAAGGGAGATGGCAGAAGCAGGCCTGCCTTCCCCAGCTTTTAAGCTTGGCGTAAGAAAAACCTCTCTGGTGACCATTCATAGGCAGACAAATATTTGACCAAAAAGATGTTCCTTGCACTGTGCTCTGAAGGTCGGTGCGCTCTGGCTCTGGGAGATCACCAAGGAGAAAAAAAAAAAGCTCCTCTGTTAGGGACACTTGACTAAAAATGTCCTGCCTCCAGCCCTCGAGAGGGCACATCTGTCAAGAAGGTGCCAGGATTGTATGTCTGCGTGTTTGCAGGGTGGGGTTTTTTTTATAATTCTGTCCGAGTGAACGCTGTAGGAAATATTCCTGGAAAAGGCAATCGGGCAACAATACCCCGCCAGATTTATTTGCAGTTCTCAGTATGAAAACAAGCTTCTGTAGTTAGCACAGATCTCCAAGTTCAATTCTCAGTCTTCAGGACAGCTGGTCTGCAATTAAGTTCTGCTTTTCCACATAAGAAACTCTACTGGCTCCTATGCACACATTCACAGATGCAGCACGCATGCTGCAGAGTGATTTGCACCAGATTCTTCAGTGAAAATGCGTTCGATATTTCTAGAAGACTTCAACTTGTGGCTTATTTGTTGCTGGGTCCTTTGACTGTGAATCAACAACTGCTGGAGCTGTGGAAATAATGTTGATGCTTGACTGCATTCTTTGTGCTCTTTTGGCCTGATCCTACTGTCTTGTGCACACAGACCTCCCATTTACTGCAAGGGGAGTTGCATGCTTCGAAAGGCTGGAGGACAGGGGTAATTTTTTATTGAGGTTTTGGACAAAGACACTAGCACACCGTCAAGTTTGCAAAAAAATAAAAATAAAAATCTGTTAAATATAATCTGTAGAATACCACTTTATCCCAGTAGTGAATGTAGCTCTTGCTGAATGCATGATAAAGAAACAATCCTTGTCACAGAGTGCATTTACTGTATCCCAAGGCTATGCAATTAAGAAGTCAAGGTTGCATCTTTATGATGGGTCTGAGGCAACATTTTCCATACAATAGAGATGCCACTGTATAGAACATTTTTATGGTACAAATAGTTAAACGTCACTCATTGAAAATGAAAGCTAATATTATTACACTACTTTTACATAAGTAGCACTTTTCCTCACCCAATGCATCTGCACAAAGCACAGTTTATTGAACGGTCAAATTTTCAAGGGGAAAAAGCTCATTGTTGCATAACTAAAATATTTTTTCTTGTGGTTTTCTTTTTTCTGTTTGTGCAGTATTCTAGCTCTTAATGTCTGATTAGTATTGGGGTTAGTGAAATGTATTTTCCAAATTAGGCAGCTACATTTCGCATAACAGCAAGTGTAGATTGATAGACATTAGGTATTTGGTGGTAGGAGAGAGATTATTTAAGTTGATGCATCTGCCATGCCTGACACTTCTACTTTATTTCTGCTGTGAAGTGATAAGCATTTTGTTGTACAGGTGGCTTCCATTTTAATTTAAACGTGTATCCTCTCAAGCAATGAAGCTGTATTTCAAAAACGAGGCTATCTGAATTTGAATATACTTCTCCCATAGGGATTATGAACAAGTCAGCCTTTTCCCTACTTAGCGCCTATCTTTCAACTCTAATAGATGGTAACTCCCTGCTGCACGCTGGGTAGGGTCCAAATCTTCATTCCCCCATTAGGCAGTGCTAGTAAATAAACTTGACTGCTATCTATACATGTATAATTTTCAACTCCCAGCACTGCATACTTGTCTTTTTTTTGTTCAGGATACCTGCAACAGGTTAAAACGTTCAGGCCTTACAGTAGGACAGGTTTAAATGCCAGCTAGCTTTGCTGAAGTTTTAAAGTGAAAGTGTTTATGGCGAATGTCACGTCTGACGTTCTGCATGAAGAGCAACAGAAATGAGTGCATATTAGCACCGGTTTTCAAGGTGCTTTTCAAAAGTGAAAAGCAGATTCTTGAAAACAAACTCGACAGAATCAAGGGTCACTGCTTTGTTAATCCCGAGTGGAAGGGCTTTCTGCACAGTGCTCGCTGTGATTTAAACAGGAACAAAATTAAGGTGTACAGCAACAATTCTCTGTGTATTGCCTCTGAAAAAAGGAGGCAAAAGCTGCTCTATTGTATTTCCAAAGCAATTGCAAATGCGTTGAGATGAATCCTATATTTTATTTTCACTCATCTGTCCCTCTTATATTTTTATTTCTCATTGTGTTTTAGCATATTTTCTTTCTGTTTTAACGTCTTTCCCTTTGTTAGTTATTAGTGAGACTGGAGAAATCGTTGATTTGCAATATGATTATTTAAAATCTATTGAACAAGTCATCAGTATGTCCCTAGACTTTATTACAGCTCTGATTTGGGCATATATTAATGTCTTTAAGAAAACGGAGAGAGGACCCGATCCTGCAAGCCTGTTAACTGTTCTCCAATAGCCGGGGGGATTCTTCAGCTTGAATGGAAATTAAGAGAGCACCTTGCAGAGTATGAACCTAATGTAAAAATCCTCACTTTCTCTGCACTGAAGAATCCCAGTTTTACACTGCAAAGGCTTGTGGACTAGGGCCATAACTAATTACTGTTTAATATTGAAATTTGGGTGCACTGAATAAAGATGCATGCCTTTTATATGTGAAAACAAAATAACGGCTGTGATGGGGAGATGAATAATGTCACTAGTTTTGGTATATAGAGTTTTATTGCCCCTCATTATATTCCTAACAGGAAAAAAATCACAAAGTGCAGCTGTTTAGAGCTGTCTTTTCAGGTATCAGTCTTGCTCTCTTATAGTCAGTGCAGGACAGTGAAATACAGATTAAAAAAAGGAGCTTGATGGCATTGTCTTATTAGTTACTATTATCTGTCATCAGTAAGGCAGAAA